GCTAAAGCCTAGCAAAAATTGAAGATGCTGAGTCGGGTATATCAGGACACAGCTGAAAGGCAAACGCATGTTGACAGGTCTCATTTGGGGTGCACAAAGACGAGGAAATGGCAGGGCGCATGTATGACCGGGCAATGATCTTGCAGAAGGGGCGCGGTGCCAAGACTAACTTTCCAATGACAGACTATGATGTGGAGGTGGCAGCGTACAGAGCTTTCTGTGCTGAGAGGTGCGCATTTGGCCTTGCACTTTGATCATGATTTTTTCCGAGTCCACGGTGTCATGATGCCAGTTTCCTTGGTGATGCCCAATGTGTTCCCCGTTGTGCGGACTGCCTTCAAAACATTTCTGACAGTGCTGCAATGTGGACGGGCAGATATGGGATGTTGGATGCCTTAGCCGCTGAGGAGAAGTCCAAAGCTGTCACTTTGCCACTTGATGACTTCATAGAAGCTGAGCAACTTGCAGCTCAGGGCAAAAACATCAAAAAGAAGGGTCGCGCGCGGAAAGTAAAAGACATCTTTGCAGTAGACCTTGAGGCAGCCCTCATGCGCAACTGACTCCGACACGAACTCAATGTTATGAGAACACAGAGCAAACCAAAGAACCCAGAGTCTTGAAGCATTTTAGAGAGTTCCAGAGGATATAAAACTAGGTCATGATCATGACTACAAAATATGACTGGCATCTCATTGGCGTTCTCATCTGAATGCTCTGAAGGGTTAGTAGGCAATCCTAGGGCTGTTTGTGTACACCTTTTATCCTGATATTGCCCGTCATGCTCTAGCAAATTTTTGAGATTTTGCAAGACGGAATGTTGCAATGCAAAGTTACGATGGCATTCCAAGCATGACACAGTTCAATACTTTTCGATAAGGTCCACTTTGGCATGAAACACTGACAGAGCAGCAAAGGCATGCTCAGTCACATAGAAACGGATTACTGTGGGTGTAGCCACCTCCCCTTTAACAATCACTGTTGCGCTCACTTGCGCATCTGCCACATGTCACTGTTGCCCGGGCTAGGTGCGGGCGTGGATGCAGCACTGAAGGTGGATGCCCCACCAAAGCCGCCAAAACCGCCTCCCTGCTGCGCTGCTGCGGCAAAGCCGCCGCCGGCTTGAGCGGCCGCGCCAAATGGGCTGGGCTTCCCGGCCATGGATGCAAAAGCCCCAAACCCGCTGCCTGTGCCAGACAGACCTCCATTGCAATCAACGCTCATTATCCTTTGGCTCTCACACTACTGATTACTGCAATATCGTTGTGATCACATCAGAGGTCGCCCTTTTATCTGCATGGTGCTCCAACACCATGGCACTTGAAATCGCAAAGCTCACAAATTGCAAAGCTGCCCAGCGAGTTGCCATGATGGCGGGAGGCACATCAAAAACATTTTACATGCAGGCAAAGATATCAACTCTCCAAAGGTAATCAGGCACGCACTTCCTTGGGCAGCTGCGGCACCGAATGCATTGCTGCCGGTAGCGCCGCCAAATGGCGCGGACGGTGATGCGGGCGAGCCAAAGCCGGGCGTTGCTGGTGCTCCAAAAGCAGGCGTTGCTGGGGTGCCAAACCCTGGACTTGCTGGTTTGCCTAGACCTATGCAGGTGCAGCCAAAGCTGTTCAGAGAAGGATATGTTCTGGCAATCATTTAAGAGCAGGTTTCTTGTAAGGAGGCAAGTGAAGCCATCATATAGGAAGGCTCCCCCACAACGAGAACTCCTCCCATTTTGCAATGTATCTCTAAAAATAACGACTGGCACAGACATAGCCGATCTTTCTATTTTATCACTGTATGGCATTGAATACATTGTCTAGGGATATTATGCTCAAGTCTGCACACACCTGGGCTGGCTGGCTGCCCAAAAGCACTGCCCATCACAGAGGGTTGCCCAAAGCCACTGCTCACAGCAGATGGCTGCGCACTAAAGCCTGTGCTCTGCCCGAAGCCCCATGAGAAAGCACCGCTGCTGGGCGGAGCCGGGCTCATAGGTGTCTGTGGCTGTCGAAACGCCGGTGCCGACTGGCCGAAGCCGGCAAAGCCCGGAGCCGCAGCGCCGCTAGTGGAGGGCTGACCAAAGCCGCCTGTGAAAGGAGTGGGTGCTGACGTGGCCAAAGGCACGCCAAGTGACAGACCCTTGCCAAATGGCGAGGCGGCTGACGAGGTGGCCGGCGCAGACTGGCCGAGGCCCCCAAACGCTCCAAACCCTGCCAGTGTCGAATACCATATGAGTGCAAAGCGCTAGTCACTGCCGCACTTATTGTTGCAGCAGGAGGATAGATATGCAGCTCAAAGTAGAGGATACGAGCTACAAAGCTGCATTTCAGGTCTTGTTGGACCTCGCCTGAAGCCAAGGACGACGGGGTGGCAGCCTGCTGGGAAGCGGATGCCCCGAAGGAGAGGGTACCAAACGCTGAAGTGGATGGTGTGGGAGCCTGGCTGCCTGTTCATGCAACCCAGAACTGCATCAGCATCGGCAGAAGAGGATCATGAGAAGGTACTGTCCGGGGGCAAGAAGACCAATGGGCACCGACGACGTCAGCAAGCTTGCAATAAGGGAGGACTCGCACCAAACGTGGATGTGGGTGGATTGCTGGGTGCAGCAGCCTGCTGGCCAAAGCGGCTGATACTTGTAACCCCAGGAGGTGCAGAAGACCCAAAGCCGCCCGACAACGGCGCTCCAAAGCTGATGCCAGGTGCCACTGCGGTGGAAACAGCTGGCGCAGCTGTCGGTGTAGAAGCAGACGTCGACACGCCAAACAGGCCTGCATGACAGCACGGCCATCTCAGCCGATGCTGTAAAAGCTGCTGGCAACAACAAGAACAGCCAGGGAAAAAACCATGCAAAGGCACAATCAAGGGTGTTGTTCCTGCTCTCAACCAGCTTGGAAGTCACATGCAGTCAGTTGTCATCCATTAGGACACACTTACCCAAGGAAGGCTGGGACGTTGCTAGACTGGTTGCAATTTGGAAGGATGCTGGCGCAGCAGAGGAAGAGGGTGCCAGTGAGGGTGCCAGCACAGCGGTGGGTGTGGCTGCCTGAGTTGCACCCGGGGAGGAGGCTGTTGTTGCAGCAGCTGCAGATGAGAACATCGACATGGCCGATGCAAAGGAGAAGGCCGCTGACGACTGTGTAGGAAGCCCGAAGGGCTGGCTCGCTGCCTTTGAAGCAGTTGGGGAGGCCGCATCGCCAAAGCTGAAGTTGGCAAAGTAGATAGCCGGCTCTGCTGAGCCCGCGGCAGGGGTGGGTGTGCTTTCTGGAAGGTTTGTTGCCTGCACACATAGACAACGCCATCAGTATGACATGCACCCGTGGACATCGGCCCCAGGTTCAACCTGTCATTCCAAATCGTTACATCTGTCATATTTGGGGAAGAGACTGTGCAACCCAGCCGTGACAGAACATGACGTTGGGAAGTAGCAGCAGGAGTGGCACACCTCAGCAGCCTTCTTGGTGCCAGGTGTAGCCTTTTGGAGTGCCACCTGTGCCTGTGCCTGAGCCGCTTCGAGAGCTGCTTTGCTAGGGACCGGCGGCATCCTTGCGGCGGGCGCGGGTGGCTTCTTCTGCATCGCTGCTTCCCCCTGCGCCTGTGCAGCTGCGAGGGCTGCCTTGCTCGGCACAGGAGGCACCTTTGCAGCGGGGGCTGCTGTAGTTTTCTGCAAAGCTGCTTGCCCCAAGGCTTGGGCAGCGGCCACAGCAGACTTGCTGGGTATTGGTGGTGTCCTGGCAGCCGGTGATGGGCCTGCACTCTTGCGCAGTGCAGCTTGCCCCTGGGCCTGTGCGGCCGCCACAGCTGTTCTGCTTGGCACGGGCGGCATCTTGGCTGATGATGACGGGGCTGCCCTCTGCAAAGCTGCCTGCGCTTGCGCCTGCGCAGCGGCCACAGCGGCTCTGCTTGGTACTGGCGGCATCTTGGCTGCCGACGGCTGTGCCTGAACACTCTTTGGCGCAATAGCCTGGCAAGAACCACACAGCAATGTCAGTCCCAGTAGCAGCAGCATCACGCGACCTGATGATGAGATGTATGTTGTTTGTCCCAGCATGTTCCATGCTATTGTGGACACGCTTCACCTGCACAGGGGGGACAGGCTTGGCTTGGCCCTGGGCTGGGCCTTTATTGGTGGATCCTGCGGCACTGTCAGAGGAGTCGGCTGGTTCCGCGCGCCCCAACGCTGCTGATCCTGCTCTCGCAAGGCTGAAGCCAGTGGCAGGCCTCTGGAATGGCCGGAAGCTGCTGGAGGGTACCTACAAAGTTGATCACTCATGCTGTTAACTATCTATCCAAGAAGAACAGAAAATTTTGAAGAGGTTGCTCTATTGGCTTGATAGAAGTGGAATTGCGAACGCCGTATTTTCTTGGACAGGCGGTAGCCGGTGCAAGTGCCGTAGAAAAAATATGATTGTGAGATATGATGACTGATGTTCACCTGGGGCTGTTCTGCTGTGTCGCTAGCCCGAGCATGCTTGGGACGTAGAGGAGCACTGGCCGTGCTGCCCGAGGAGTCCACGCTAGTTGCCGATTCTCTCCTTGCCAGTTGTTCCTTCGACTCCAGGATATTGGTTGCCTGTTCAACAATCATTTTTTGCAAGACGCTCCGGTGCGTGTAAGGATCAGTTAAATCAACTGGGCGTACTCAAACAAGTCGGAAACGCGTTCACCTGAAAAGGGGAAGGCTGTCTTTTTCGGAGTCCACTGTCGGTCCCATCTCTCTGGAATGGGGCTGCCTGTGGCTGGATCCTGTCCACACCGGTTTCAGACGACCCAGCTCTCGTCAAGCCTGCACGCCATCCAAGCCGACTGTAAGAATTGTACTGATCTTGTGCGAAAGAACCGCTGATCTCGCAGCTCCTAGCGTGCAGGCTGCTGCCTACATCCCGTGGACACCCTTATGCCAACGGTAGCTCGGGGTCGAGTGCAATCATGGTATGAAAGCGACCGTATATATACTGCGAGAAATTCTTGATCGACACCTGGCAGACTGGCACTGCCCGCAGCGAGGCGCTGTGGTGTAGTGGTTATCACTTTGGACTTTGAATCCAACAACCCGAGTTCGACTCTCGGCAGTGCCTTACACTTTTTCTCAAAATTTTTAACCGATGATAACTCGGTTACTTAGCATATACCTCGTCTGTCCTTTCCATGAATTTACTCTTACAAAAAATATAATAATTAAGGACCGGTATCTCGTGCTCACCTGCATTTTGACCAAAGCTTGGGGCCAAGCTGAGTGGTTTGGCTGTGGCACGTGCATCATGGAATGGCGAGGGGCCGCTGCCAAAGCCAAAGGGTGATGGCGATGCAGCAGGAACAGGTGGCGGCACAGCAGATGGCTGCGTGCTGGCGGCAATGTCCTTCTTGGAAGGGGTCCAATCAGACTCCTCTTGCCCATCGGGCTGTGGCTGGGGCAGGGTAGTCACGCCGTCTATCCGCGTCAGCCGCACACCACCCTCCATGGATACCTGCCATGCCCCAGCACAGTGCTACTGAACATCTTGCCCTGTCACTTCAGCAAATCACCCTACTGCGAAGACGTCAAACATTGATGAAGGCCGTCAACGCAGCACTGTGATCCTCATGCACTTCCAGATGTTGTGTGTGGGGTGCCACTTTGAAGATGCACAACCTTCTCCAGCAGCAGGCGGCGCAACGAGCTTGCAGAATCAGAGGCCCAGGGTGAACTGTTGGGAGTTGCGCCACCGATGAGAGGCGAGAGAGCAATTGGCCTGCGCGGCTTTGCCCGGCCCAGAGGACTCTTGCGCACCTGCTGCCATGTGCGCCTGCATGCACCACAGCTGCCACATTGTTCTTCAAGGCAAGCAGTGCAGCCGTGCATTAGCATGAACCTCACAACCATGGCCAATGATGTCCTCTATGCTGCGTTAAATGGTCAGACAGGAAGAGTACGAAGTCGCGTGCCTGGAAGAGTTCGTAGGGGTGTCTGCATAGCTGTTGCTGGGCTTGCTGCCACTGAGCGCGCCGCTGTACGGAAAGGGTGGAGGAAGGCCACTGCTGTCCTCATCATCTTCATCCCTACTGATGCCCATATCGTGCAGCTTTGTCCAAAGGAGCTCCAGCCTCTCCAGCTGCACACGTGCCAGTACAGCACTCTAGGCTTGTGTCAGAGGCTTAAGAACATAAGACACTTTCGCATCAGCTGACAACAGTTCTTCATCTTCTATCAAATGGACTGCAAAATTCTCGATTATCTGACCCTAAGTGGAAAGTAGCAACATACCTGTGCAACAGCAACAGCTGTCTGAGCATTGACTGCATTGTAGAGCTGCTGTGTGGACGCTCTTGGGGGGGTCCCATAGAGCCTCATGCTTGCCCTTTCCTCCAATGCCTGGCACAGAAGAAGAGTGTTTGGTAGTTGCTTGTAAGATTCAATTGATCTGTAGTCGAATGTTACACTTGCAGTGACATGGGAAATGCACATAGTGGCATTTGTGCGACAACCCTCAACACACAGCCACCTTAAGGCAATCGTTCAGCTGCGAGCTTTGCTTCTGCAGAGCCTGCAGCTGGGTGTCAATGGAAGCCGTCAGCTCCTGCAGAACAGGGTCTAAGACGTCGCCATCATCGTTGTTGCCATTTGCCGCTGTGTCATTGCTGTGCTTGCCCTTGAAGTACAAAAGTGCTTCAGCTCGTGCTCTGTCCTCCTGCGCAACACATGCACTGTTTAAACCATGACACACACGGATTGAGCAAACTTCCCAAATCCAGCACAGACGTCCTCCAGGACAGTGCAAACTGATGCTGGAGATAGAGATAGGACAGCTCATCACCCTCCAGCCGTTGTGAAGCTTGCCAAAACGTTGCTTTTCAGTCGCCAAGCTCTTCAGGATATCAGCGACAGAGCTCTTGAGGGCATCCGTCCTTGACACCAAGGAGTGGAAGCCCAGCCGGGCGCCAGGCCCGCTGTCAGCATCACCATCTGTCTTGGCCATTGCCGCAGAGAAGGCCTGCTCCAGCCCCCGGGTCTCTGCCAGGGTCTTCAGGAAGTCCTCTTCCATGGCCGCCAGTTCCCTGCTCTCTCCTGCAGGTGCAAAGCAACTGTAATGCATGGTGTTCAACGTGAAGACAGTGCATGCAGGTAATGGCAGATATGAGAATGACAGTATACATGCAGACTATTTCCCAAGAAACAAAGAGCTGTGAAGCTGTCTATGTCATGGCAAAAGGTGTTTAGCACTCATATTTCATGCAGTATTTAAAGCGGAACCTGAAGGATCGTCACCTTTGAGCCTGGCTACCGGTGCCGGTGGCTTTTGCGGTGCAGCAGTCACTGTATGTCGCTGCTCTGAGTGCTGCCGTACAATGGCAGCTTTCTCGTCGGCTGCAGTGCTGCGTTTTTGTGCAGCCGTTCCTGCCATCAGTCTGGCAGGCTCCTTTGCTGGAGGTGCAGCTGTAACCGGCTCGATGCGTGGGGTCGCTGCTGGCTTGGAATGCTGCGGCGTTGGGCTTGGAAGCGGCTGCAGTGGGGCGGAGGCAGCAGCACCGGCGGCGGCCTTGGTGGCCTCTGCCTCCCTGGCCTTGGCTATGAGCTTTTGTGCAGTAGACTGAGGTGGCAGGGAAGGCAGAGCTTGGGGGACCTGAGACAGAAAGCCTCACAATGATCACGCTTTTCAGTTGCTGACAAGATACATGCATTTGTTTTGCAGGAACAAATTCCATGCTATGAAAGCCAAGCCGAGAGACTGAGCAAAATCAAAGGGGAGGACTGCAGAGGGCTATGCACCTGGTTCTTTGAAAAGATGGAGGTTGCTGGTGCTGCAGTTGCGGAGGCAAACGCAGGTGCAGAGCCAAAGATGCCCGGCTTTAAAGGTGGCGCAGTGCTAGGCACACTGCCGAGCACTGTCCCCGATGATGCAGCTGCACTGCTGCCCGCCAGCCCGGCAGGCATGAAGGTGTCACTTAACCCTTCACCAAATGCTGGCATGCTGCCAAAGCTGAAGCCGCCGGTGGATGCCGCAGCAGGGGTCAGGGCTGCAGTGGCAGGGGTCGGTGCTGGGAGTGTCCAGGGAAGTGGAGCGGTCGCTGCAGGCTCCTGTGTTCGAGCTGCTGGCGGAGGGGTTGGTTTCTTGTGAGCCTCTTCCACAAGTCGGGTGTCCGCCAAGCCAAAGTCCAGCTTGCGGCCGCTGAGTGGCCCGAACGGAGCAGCGCTGTCGGCTTCATCGTCGCCATCAGCCTGCCTAGAGATGTCCAGGCGGCTTATGCTGGGCCGCTGATCAGCAGTGGAGCTGTCAGCGCGAGAAGCTCCGCTGTCCGCATCGTCTGCCAGATCTGACTCGTCATCCGACAGCAGTGCAGTGTGAGCGGCCCTGGCCGCTGCGGCTGCGGCAGAGCTGCTGCTGGTCTCTGACTCTCTCTCGGCTGATGAATCATAGGAGCCCTCTTCACTGCTAGCAGGAAGTGCTGTCGCTGCCGCGCGCTCCTCGGGCACCTCTGCTGGCCGCGGGCCGGGCACGGCTGCTGCCGGGCTCTCTTGCTCGACCTCACATTCCCCACCATCAGCGCGCGGCAAGGGAACCCCTGCAGCTTTCTCCTGCTCATCTGGATGCTGCACCTCTGCCTGCGCAAAATCAATTGCAGGGATCTTCATATTACCATGGTAAGGACATGTGAGATGACTTCTGACACCTCAGCAAAAGCAGTAATATGGAATTCAGGCGGAGGTGTGCCTGAAAAGTACAAGATTTGTGGATGTCATGTCTCGATTGGGTGATAAAATTCAGACGCAGTGTCACACTTGGGGTTTACACTGTGTTCTTGGCTCGGCACCTGTTCTTCAAGGGCCACCATCAGGGGCAGCGCGTCGGAGAGAGGGAGCGCAGGCGCAACAATGCCTTCTGTGGGCTTGGTCATGTGCGCAAAGGTGAAGAGGCGTAGGGCACTGTCGGACGTGGCCACCAAGAGCACCGGGGATGGCGGCAGTGCTGAGGCCTCCGGGTCAGGAGGCATGACGTGGATGTCCGTGCTGGTAAAATCTATGCCCAAGCCTAAACAGGCACCCACACCTTATCTGGTGTGCTCCCTATATATATTTATATTATTTATAAGTTGTGTCAAATTTAAAAAGTCTGGTAACTGCTGAGTTGGTGCAGGACACCAAGTGTTGTTGGGCACCTGTCACGTAATTGTCACTGTAGTCCATTGCTGAGGGGATCCTGATTGCACTCCAGTCCTCTGTCACATCTATGGCCTTCACGTATCCCTGACCAACCTCTGCAGTACACATCGCCAGCGTCAGAAGTACCCTGCTTTCAAGGTCTCCCTGTGAAACAATTCACAGCACAACTGGCAACATTCTGCAGATCTGGCCCTGCAACAGCTTTCCTGGTATGCTGACTGGCAGATCTCTCATAGCAGCAGAACATTGTTGTGAGATCGGCAACGAGTAAGACATACTACACTGGTATGCCTCGAAGGATTACAAGCCAAAGCTTGAAACACATGCATTGCAGGGTGGGAGGGCCAGAGCCGCACCATACAGCCTTATGTGATCATCGCTGGCCTTCCTGTGAGCAACCACAGCAGCACCCCAGGCAGGCACGCGCGTGACATGGGTGTATGGACCAGAGTTTTCAGCAGTGGAGTCCGCATTCACAGCTGGTGCGATAAACTCCGCCAGCTGCAACTCCTCCGGGTCTGCTCCTGCCTCAACATCCCATGCTGACCACTGCATCACAGCCAGCGGTGCAATGTCCTGCACAACAAGATGCACCCAAGCTCATCAAAATTGCATCACAGGCATGGGGCAATCAAGAATCTTGGTTGGTAGGGCACATGGATACTTCTCATAAGGGTTCTGCACAGTGATGAATGGCAGATGCTGCGCACCATCTCTGCCGTGAGGTCTTCAACTGGGTGTAGATTTGTTGAGACGAGTAAGGATTGCGACCCGAGCCATGCAAGTGTGTCCACATTCACGACACCATCTGCATCTTTGGCCTCCTGCATGTGAAAGCAGCATGCAAGGGAATCAAACGAAAGCAAATCTCTTGGGGCAGCACAGATGCAAATGTACTTAACATCCTGCCATGCATGACACCATGTGTAAAAGCATGTG